CGCTGGCTCATGGCCCGCGGCCACGGCCGGATGGCCGTGTACTGCTTCTTCCTCGTCCCCTCCGTCACCACGTGGACCAGGAGCGGGTCCCACGCCCAGTGCTCCTCACAGAGCCCCGCTGGCCCCGGGAAGGAGATTTTCTGGGGACTTTGGCAAAAGCAGAGTCTGCAGATCTCCTGGAACTGCCCCCCGAACTCGCTGCGGATTTGCCCGGCGGTGCTGGAGGCTTCTTCGCTCGGGAGGCCGTTGGTGCTGCCGGCGACCTGCGCCCGGAGCACCCCGCCGCTCCAGCTCCTGCTCCCTCTCGAAGTTCCACACCAGAGCCTCCTCCTTGCTGCTGGCGAAGGTGCACTGGTTGTGGTGCTTGCTGCATCCCGCGCCCGGGCAGTAGAAGCGGCAGACCTCATAGCGTGCCGGCTTTGGGAAGCCCGGCCTCCGGCCCACCTTCCTCCAGAGCTGGCTCCTCTTGCTCCGGCACCGGGCCAGGAGGATCTCGTACATGCAGCGATGCTCCACCTCCTTCCTCTCGTAGGTGCTCTCGTTCTCCCGCACGCTGCACTTGGAGCACACCAGGCACAGCTCCAGCCGCTTCTGCAGACCGTCCAGCGTCCCGTGGACGAGGCCGTTCACGGTCGGCATGTCTCCCGCCGGCCAACGCAAACAGCTGCCAATCTTTAAAGGTGGAGCCGCGGCTCTGAGAGGCCCCCAGGAGCAAGCAGGGTCCTAGCGCGGTGTGCCCGGCCCGGCTGTCGACGTGCATTTAAAAACCTGGAGAGAAAAACCAACAGGTAAGGAAACATCGGGCTCCCGCTTTGCTGCGTGCACACTGAGGGGCTGGAGGGGTTATTCCAACGCCTCCGTTTCCCCAAGCGAGCAAAGCAAAATGCACCAGCAAGGCCACAGCAAAACCAAAGCGATCCCCTGCTCAGGGTCTCGTGAAACCAGAGTCTCGCTGTGAGGGCGTTCACTCAGCCAGGCCGCTGCCCTACGTAGCCTGCCGAGCCTCCCCCTTTTCCGACCCTGCCCCTTTTTCTAAATTTTAACAGTCATGCCAGTAACGCAAAGTCTGCGGGACTTGACTTACCCTGTAGGAGTCTGCGTTAGCCGTAGGGTAGTGGGATAAGGAAGGGTTAATTATCTTCTTGAAATTAAATACCCCAAATCTCTTTTTAGAAATTAGGAAAGACCTTGTGGCGAAATCTTCAACTGGGTCAGTCCACAGATGGGCTCTGTGCCTCGCGAGACCTAAACTAAGTCCAAAACTGCAAGACCCAGCTAACAGACATTTTGGATTAAGGAAACAGGAGGCAACGGGCCCTCTCACACCTAACCGCAAGATTCCTGCTTTTTCCATGTCTGAGAGCGAGTCCAAAGGGGCATCAGGTGATTTTATTCAGGCATATTCACAAGATGTCCCAATATCACCATCCAATCAAGTATGTGCACCCACAAAACCGCAGGGTTCAGAAATCTGGTTTTTGGTCGTCGGAGGCTGGGTATGATGATGCAAAGAGAGGGATAAAAGCTGTGGCAATATGGAAGCTCGGGGCTCGAGCATGCTCGATCTACTTCCTTATCAAGTATTTCTTTATTTACATTCTTTGCTTCACTTTGTTTATTCTCTCGAAGTCTTTACTTCTAAGTTCTCCAAACTTCACTTTGCACCAAAGTCCCACAAGCAGAGGGAGGACGGTCCTTCCACACTCGGTCGTCTGGGAGAAGGGGATGTGAGTATGGTATTATAGTAGAAAACCACCTGTGTACTGAGATGAGCACAATTTATATCATCAGATTTTGTTACCCTCAGAGGTGATCGAATCACTGTAGGCTACGTCTAGACTGGCATGAATTTCCGGAAATGCTTTTAACGGAAAAGTTTTCCATTAAAAGCATTTGCGGAACAGAGCGTCTAGATTGGCACAGACGCTTTTCCACAAAAGCACTTTTCCCAGCCATTTTCACCATCGGGGCTTTTTTGCGGAAAACAAATCTGGGCTGTCTACAATGGCCCTTTTGCGCAAAAGTTTTGCACAAAAGGACTTTTGTCTGAACAGGAGCAGCATAGTATTTCCACAAGAAGCACTGACAATCTTACATGAGATCGTCAGTGCTTTTGTGGAAATTCAAGCGGCCAGTGTAGACAGCTGGCAAGTTTTTCCGGAAAAGCGGCTGATTTTCCGGAAAAACTGGCCAGTCTAGACACAGCCTCTGTGTAATCGGAGCTGTGTGCTTTGTTTTGTTTGCTGTCTTAAGACCAGTCACAATTAAAATTTATTTAATTTGGTACTATCCTCATTGTGAGCATGGCTCCTGCAGTGGGCCCCCAGAGCCACCTCCAGAAATAGCTTTATAGTTCTCAACTTTGTGACCTGGGAAAAGGAGGATGAAACCTAGCACCTCCTAGTCAGACTGGCGAGCCTTACCCACATCAATTCTGTTATACTTCTCCCCCAGGCTACACCCACTGCAATGGGGCCGGTGGAGGGAGACTGTCCTACAGGACACACAGTCCTACATAAGAGGGAAGGGACCTGCGATGGGATGTGCATACCCTGCACTGGGCCAAGAGGGCTTAATACCCTGTGGGCAGAGGAAGTCCCGCCCTCCAGCCATACTGGGCATGCTCCAGGGGCTGGGATAGTATAAAAGGGAACAGTTCTGCTCAGTCTGGATGCTAGAGAGGAAGGGCTTAGGAGAGGAGCTCCAGGGGTGGACCAGCCAGAAGCCCAGATGACGGGACCTGGAGACTTAGAAGCCTGTATTAAGCCGGCAAAGTCGCAGAAGGAGACTGGTGCTGCGGAGCCTGACGACCCAGACACTCTGTGGGTTGCTCCACAGCCAAAGCTGGTAGGAAGTCAAACATGGGAGAGTGTGTGAGGGGTATTTCCCACCCGAGTGAGCTCCGCGTGTGGCGGTAGAATTCCCTGATAGGGCCGTGGATCGGGGCCCGGTGGAATAGGAGAGGCCCCGGGGCTTTTGCCCCAACCCCTTTGACTCTAGCCATTAGGCTATATTGCCCTGTTCCCAAAGGCTGCGTTATAGACTCTGCCCATTGGGCCGTGCTGCCCTGCGACTCAGGGGCCGGTTTTATAGACTCCAGCCACCAGGCCATATTGCTCTGTGTCTCAAGGCCTAATTTACAGACTGCGGCCATTGGGCCGGGCTGCCTTCAGATGGAGGCCACTTATGATGTGACAAGACCCTTCACTCAATGACGCCTGCCTCCCACCATCAGTGAACCTGCCCAGGCCTCTCCGTTTTCCTCTTTGCTCTCTTCCAGATTTTCGCTGAATTTTGCCTTTTGCCCCCCTCTGTTCCCCCTCGGTGGAAGCTGCCTGCCGCACCCTACGCAGGAGCTGCTCCCGCCGCAGTCGAAATCCCATGGGAGGCCACAGCACCAAGCCGGGGATGGGAGGGGCAATGAAGCAGTTAGGGGAGAGGGAGGTCCTGCTACTTTCCCTGTCTGCCACCCCAAAATCAGCCTGCACCCGCCTCCGCGGGCTCCGTACGCGCTGCTCCGCCATTCCCCCAGCACTAGGGGCAGCAGCTACCTGCCCTCAGGCCTCGCTCCATCTAGGCGCCAAGCCAGGGCGGGGCACGATGCCGCCCAGGGGCCAGATCCGGCCCGTCTAACACTTGCATCTCGCCGCCTTCTATTCAGATCCTGCTGCTTGTGCCACCGAATTTCCAGGCAGTGGGATCCTATTTAAATGGCTCCCAGCATTCCCCCAGCACTAGGGGCAGCAGCTACCTGCCCTCAGGCCTCGCTCCATCTAGGCGCCAAGCCAGGGCGGGGCACGATGCCGCCCAGGGGCCAGATCCGGCCCGTCTAACACTTGCATCTCGCCGCCTTCTATTCAGATCCTGCTGCTTGTGCCACCGAATTTCCAGGCAGTGGGATCCTATTTAAATGGCTCCCAGTCGCAGTGCTCAATGCTACCCCAGCAGGGGCTGGAACCGCAAGCCTTTTAAATTGCTGCTATTTATAGCGCTTGCAGCTCCTGGCTCTGTCACTACCCCGTTGCCGGGAGCCACCTGAGGTTGCTGTGGCTATTTAAAGGGCTCCCGGTCACGATGCTAGCCCAGGAAGGGATGGAGCTGTGAGTCGTTCAAATAGCTACAACAACCCTGAGCAGCTGCGCCTCGGGTCCTGCTGCATTTTTCCTACCATCAATTGTCTTTCCCCACCCCCTGCTCCTATTGCTTCCACCACGGGCAAGCTTGGCTAGCCCAGCTCTGCTCCTCAGCTGCTGCAGCCGACACCTAGATACCAAGGGGATGGGCAGGGTAGCAAACCAGCCAGCCCGCTGAGCACGCCCCCAGCCGGGTAGGTGAGCGCTCAGACTCCAGACGCAGGAGAGGTAACTCACTGCTCGACCCACGGCCCCATGGGGAACGGGCAGAAAGCCTGCTGCGGGCTATTTCCTGGGTAACCAGTGGCTGGGAGCATCCCGCGAGTGCTAGCTCAGGTCTCAGGAGGAGGTTGGAGAAGGATGAGGCTTGTGGAGTGGACAGCATTACATGGGGCACTGATCACGTGACAGCCCGTCCCCTGCTCGTCTTGACCAAAAGACCGAGCATCTGCGGTGGACAGCTGGTGCAGGGCCAGGCATGTGCCGGTCTCTTAATTAAACCCAAACCCCCACCTCCGGCCTCCTGCTTCACACACCAAGAGGCGGAATCTCCAGAGGAAAGCAAGAATATTTACAGCCGGGCTGAGGCTACTGCCTAGAGTGAAGCCGAACACAAGCGCCTGCTTCCGTGTTTCATCGAAGCTTCTCGCTCCAAAGCATTTTCACAAGCAGGGATCCTTTCACCCACCACCGAGGTGGAACACAGCAGCTGTGTAACAGGACACAAAGAAACCAGGCATCCCCACGTACAGAGTGGGACGCGACTGTCTAGGAAGGAGTACAGCCGGTCCCCGAGTTGCGAACGGTCGACTTACGACGGTTTGCAGTTACAGCCGAAGCTGTTGCAAATGGTGGACCCTGAGTTACGAACATGATTCACGCTTACGAGCAGCGCGGTCGCGTGTAACTCTATGGAGTCCAACTTACGAACAAACCGAGTTACGGCCAATTGCTTGGTCCGTAACTGGTTCATAAGTCGGAGAGAGGCTGTACTGCAGAAAGGTATCTAGGGGTCATAGTGGGCCAGCTAAGTATGAGTCAACAGTGAGACACTTAATGCATCCCAGAATTTCTTTTTTTGTTTAACAGGAGTGTTGTGAGCGAGACACGAGGAGTCATTCTTCCGCTCGACAATGATTAGACCTCAATTGGAGTATTGTGTCCAGTTCTGGGCACCACACTTCAGGAAAGATGGAGGAATTGGAGAGGGTCCAGAGAAAAGCAACAAAAATGATGAAAGCTCTAGAAAACATGAGCTATGAGGGAAGGCTGAAAGAACTGGGCTTGTTCAGTTTAGAAAAGAGAAGGCAGACAGGGGACATGATAGTAACTTTCAAGTATCTAAAAGGGTGTTACAAGGAAGAGCGAGAAAAATTGTTCTCCTTGACCTCTGATAGAACAAGAAGCAAGGGGCTTAAACTGCAGCAAGGGAGTTTTAGGTTGGACATTAGGAAAAACGTCCTGCCTGTCCGGGTGGTGAAACACTGGGATAAGTTGCTTAGGGAGGTTGTGGAATCTCCATCACTGGGGATATTTAAGAGCAGATTAGATCATCCCAGATTGAGGTCTATCCAGACGGTGCTAGGTCCTGCCATGAGGGCAGGGACTGGACTCGATGGCCCCTCGAGGTCCCTT